TGCACAATTTTAAATGTAACGGTAGAAGAGAAAAAAGGATGAAAATAGGATCAAGAAACATAATAAGGTCAGAGTGAGAGCATAGCAGAGTGGATGTAACAACACATCATGAAATCAGCGAGTCAGCTAATGTGAAGTCATAGAGGGAGGGATCTCAGAGAAAGGTTTGTTCATGCAGTACACGTGTGAGTCTCTTTATGTGTCATTTTGTAGGCATGGACATGAAAAGTGTGTTTTGTTTGGTCAGAGCAGGTGTGAACAGCGCTCAGAAGTGCCTAAACTGCAAAATCCTCTGGCATAGAATGTGAGTCACCTCTGTGTTTATATATGCATGGGTGTGTTTTTTGCTTGTGCATGGAGTTTTTTTTTTTTTTTAATTGTGAGCAAACAGTAAAGGCCAAGGTCAATTCAGTTGTATTTATATAGCACCAAATATAGCACCAAATATCCCTGAAGGCACATTATCTTCTAATGTAAAAAGAAAGAAACCCATTTAGATTGCCCCTGTGAGCAAACACTTGGCAACAGTGGGAAGAGAAAAAAATCCCCAGGAGTAAGAGAAGATATATGAAATTCTCCTTTTAGAGACCAGATAGGGGTATAACAAGGATGCATGCACTTTGGACCCATTCACCACTTTCAGACACTTGCCAACATGTCTATGAACATAACAGTGGAAATTTACCCATGTAGACACTTTGGAATCAGGGTGAAAAGTTGAAAAGTTGTGAATTGGCATTTGGTAACCTGGGTATTTGAGAGTAGCATGCACCAGCATGCTGCATATCATGTTTTTACATTGAGTAATTCCATAGCTGCTTTTTTGCACACCGTACATTATTATGGAGCCCCGCAAGGGAAATGGGAGAAAAAAATTAAGACAAACTTTTGCGAGATTTTGCAAAAGTAACTCGGGATCTCGCAAAATTTTGTCTTAATTTTTTTTTCCGCCCATGTTCCTTGCAGGGCTCCGTACATTATAGACAAGATGAAATGTGATGCGCTTTTTTTTGAGTTTTTCTTTAGCTTGTTTACACTTTGTTTTGTAAGGATCATTATTAAATGCTGGGTCCTCAACCATACAAGGCTTTTTCTGAGCTTGCCATTACTTATCTCGGGCTGAGCCAAATGAAATGTCATACCATCATTCCTTCTGAGTTCTTTGCGAAACAGCTCACAGCTCAAACCAGTCAGAATGCGCTACAATTAAATTCATCCCCAGGGCTACAAAGGCCTCCTCTAAGCTGAGGTTCCTGTTACACTCCACCCTGCAGGGTGTCACACATCTATTCAGTAGCAGCTCGACTGTGCTTGGCGACAATAGCTGGAAAGAATAGAATAGGATGGTGGAGTATTGTGACATTTGATGGCAAATGTGTTCTGGGATTATCTCTGCAGCAGCCAATATACAGCGAGCCACCTTTGCAATTTTCTAAAGACAGCACCTGCTGGACACTAATTACAAAGAGTTTGTGCCTCCTCTATACATGATTACTGGCTTTCTCGGGCAATAACAGGTTCACAGCAATGTCTTTGTTATGTGTCGTGCTGTATGCTGTTTAGAGTTGGGTTTTTTTTTTGTTACTTCAGTCATTCAGCTGTATGAGAAATGACTTATCAAAGTCACTCAGAAGCGTGTTTGCCTATTTAATTTAATTGTGCTTGTTTGTATATGCTAGTTTCTTGTATATTGGGAATATTATGTCAAAAACTGCAAAGAGATTATCTGATGAGCTAATGCCGCAAGGCAACACTCATTTCTGTCTGCAAAAACAATCAATCAGCCTTTGCTGTACATTTATTCGAGCTTAGTACTAAGTGTTATAAAGCACAAAACCAGTGGGTGCAGACATTATTACTTGTAAAAAAACAGGTGTAATTAATAGCAGCTGCATTTCTTTTCAGTATGCCTCTGCCAGGCCTCTGGCATTATACATGTTGGCACATTGGCACTTCTTATTGGCACAGCAAAATGGAATAAAACCATCATTAATGTTATTAGTCACACCTGTGATTTTCCTGCCATGAGAAAGGGGTATTGTGCCTATTTCAAACTATAGTATATTGCTACAGACACAACTGGATAGCTTTTGGAACGAAAACTTGACCATAAACACACAAACTGTTGGCCAAGAAGTCACATGTCAAATTATTGATGGGACACATATTCATTCTTTTGTGTTATTTGGGAGCTCCAATTTATTGCTGGAGGTGTTTACTAGCAGAAAAACATCTATATGAGTTCAGAAAGAAGGTGAGATGAGGCTTTCCTCTTCCCACTGACTTGCACATTTGGCTGGCGCATTCAAGAGAAATTGCGGCAGTCAGCCAGCGCGTGTAAAATGGTCTTTGCTGGGGTTCTGGTTGCTCAGGAGCCAAACTCCAGTGACTCATCTCCACTCAGGAGGGGAGATGCCAGACACAGAAGTGGTATTTGTCAGTGAGAGTGAAAATTACCATCTGCAGGGCATCTTACTAGCATCTTTTATTTACAGACACCACCCTGTCTAGCCGGCTGTCTGTCTGATGGCTAGCTGACTGGCTAATAGAATGAGTGGAAGTTTGCTTGGCACACTGTCTAGATCCTCATTGAGGTACTGTCTCTGTAAGGTAACTGATGCGCTTGACTCTAATTCTCTTTGTCTGTCTCATTCTATCTTTTGGATGAATACTTCTAAAAAACATATCACACATTTTAAAAATCTATGACAGAATCCAAGCTGCAGAAATGTACATGCAGACCCTGTAACTAAAATTAGAGGCATGAATTTAAATCCCCAGATCAAATGTTAAATGCCTGAGACTAGCAGGAAACTGTAAAGTAAGAGACTCCATGATTTAATCCCACACTCAGGCAGTTCATTATTTAGTCTCCTACTGAAGTCTGGGCTTCTGTATTGACAAAATCCTGTCCCTATGGTCTCTAAAACACTCTAAAACTTGCCAACCAATTTCCTGATTTCTAAGACACTTTCTCTTTCTTTCTCTTGCCATGTACTTTCAGCTCGGACAGGAAAAATGTGCAGATGTTTGATTGATGATTTAAAACCTTTACAGTTAATTAGACATAAGGTGATTTCATTGCGTTTCATTTTTGATATTGATTTTCTACTGCTTTCTTGTATTGCTTGAAACTGAGCTGTCCCTGAATTTTCTTTCACATTTGTGTGTCTGGTGTTTGGGCACAATATTGTGTATACCCTGGCCTGCAGAAAGTGAATTTGTTTTTGCATACGCAGAAAGTGAATTTGTTTCTTTTCAGTTAGTGCCTAGTCAGAACAGACCAAAGAAAAGTTTCTCATATCATGCACAAAAAAATGAAAATGGATTTTGTGACACTGATTTTCATGGAAAATGGTGGTCACACAAATGGTAACAGAAAGTGTTAGTAATGCATGACAGGAAGTCTTTAACCTGTCGTTTCCCTGCTCAGGTAAAATACAAGGCTAAATTATTAGGGCATGGAACAGAAAACATATTAGCATGTTAATAGTGCAAGGTGTTGTTGTTAAAATATTGCTTTCATATTATAGATGGCTTAATTTAGAAGTGATGTTGATGCATCTATTAGTACTTCCTGGGATTAAGATGAATGCTGGTTGAAAACAAACAAACAAAAAAACCCATGCACGACTCATGCTAACTTTGTTAAGCTAGTTGTCAAGGTGGTGTTTGATGAACAATGCATGTCTTTTCCCAATTGAATACATTCATTACTCAGTCTACAATACCCTGTGTTTGTGAAGTAATATAGTGGAAGTGGCAAATTCCACTGTGTTTGTACTTGTTTGAGATTAATTTGCTTTATGTTTTGTTTTTGTAAATTAAGTCTGCTTTTAGTATTTATTCTCTCATACCACAAACATCCAGTCTGTCCTCCAGTATTGTGCTCATTGGCGCCCTGACTGATTGACTGGCTGGCACGTTCAAAGTAATGTTTTAACTGAATTAGATTCTTCAATCAGCTTATAAGAGAAGAAAACAACAGTATTTTATAGATAGTTGAAGTCTGTATATAACAAAAGATGATTGCGAATCCATTCCACTTGTTTTGATGAAACTGGTAACAGTTGCATTGAAGAGACAACAAGACAACCCTCAAAATTGCATTGGTTTTGTAGGTGGTGGCCTCAGACCGTTGCCTACTCCTTATCTCTCCTGACTGTTTTTTCCCGTGTTTTGCTCTTTTACTGTTTTCGTGATTACTGGTAGCAGGTGAGAGGTTACCTGAAGCCCATTGAGGTTGCACAAATAGTTCAGCTCCAGGAGATTGTTTGCTGAGTCTTCCAGAATAGTCTCAAGAGGGTGGAAGAGCAGGACTGGTATCTTCTCTTTTGTCTGAGGAGGAACAGAAGCACTACCAGAACCCTGCAAAGTTAGCTTCCTGAAAGCTACTCATGTGCACTTTTCTGACCAAAATCTCAAGGAACACACTGCATGAAGGTGGTTAGAGGTCCTGATGTCCTTTAGTGGGATTGGTGCTCACTATGGACACCATGCAGCTTGATTGGCTTTCACCAGTGAACACCAGAACTGTGAGGTCCAGCACTGGTGCACATTCTCTTTACAGATGAGAGAAGTTTCACACTGAGCACATGTGATGGACGTAAATGAATCTGGGGATGGTGTAACAAGCATGGCTGGTTTGACGGTGGATCAGTGATTGTGTGGGGAGGCATTCACTTGTAGGGTCAAATAGACTTCCGTGTGCTAGCCAACAGTGTCCTGACTGCTATTAGGTACCAGGATAAGATCATCAGACTTATTGTCTTATATGGTTGCAGTGAGCTCTGGGTTCCCCCTGAAGGACAACACTTGGGCTCATTGCCAAAGTGTCTATGAAGAGCCACGAACACTACTGATCGACACTGGGATACAAGTTGAATCAGCCTGTGATTTCAGTTTTTTACTTATTAAAGTGATTTTTCAATCATGTAAATGAGACATATTCTTCGTACTGTTTTGTCACATCATTTTCTATATATGTGTGTTAATTTTAGCCATGCCAGTGCCGGATCAGCCTGCAGAGCAGGAGAAGGGGGCCATGGTTCCCCCTGTGATGCCATCCTCCAATGGAGACAGATCTGAGACAGAGACAACCTCCTCTATCCTTGCCTCTGTCAAAGAGCAGGTAGGAAGTCCTCCATATACCATAAATGTATGTGCTGAACTATAATAAGCCTTTTTTATGTAAAACTTTGCTAAAAAGGCCAAATTGTAACTTTGTTGTCGATAAACAGCTCTAATATAAGGCAGCTCATAAAGTTGTTGCTGTTATATAGCAGCACCCCACTGTTATAAAGTGTTTAAATGAAAGCAACAATTGATTGGTTGAGTTTAATGGATGGAAGTAATGGAAATTATGGAGCAACAGCTGGAAAATATCATTAAAATCATGGCCGTTACTTGACGAAGGAGGGCTGGAGTGGTGACTGCATTGCTGCAGGAAGGCAGGCAATGATGCTGCATGGTTTTGTTTAAAAAAACCCATGAAAATCATATATAAGAAAATAATATATAAGTAGGGGATGGTAGACGAAACAGCTCCAGGTTTGGTTTAGGTGATGATGAGGGGAAATAAGTGCAATGCAAATATATTTTAGTCTTTGATATGTTAGATTGAGAAGAGGTGAGAGAAAGCAAGAATAGGAAGTACACAAGAGATTTGCTATGTACGTATGTTGTGTAGCTTTGTACAGATTGATCTTTACACCTCTTGATTTATATATTTAGCACTTTATTTATGTTTTAGGCAACTTATAAGGCACAAAAATATGTGTTTCTCTTCGCAATGGAAAGATATTCTTGAGTGAAGTGAAGTTCATACTAATTGTACTTACTCCATTGTGTAATGGAATGTTGTTTCCTTTGGATTTGGCTCATCAGCAAGTGCAATACACCATAGATTTATCATTTTGCCAATCTGCATTGACTCTGAAGTTCTCCTTAATTTAATACCACAAAATATTCCATTTACCCTTACCGAGTCAAGGACAAGTGCTGATAGCAATTTAAGCTTTTTTTCCCTTTGCAAATGGCATTCATTTGTGTGTGTGTGTGTGTGTGTGTTTTTTTCCCTAGACCACAACCCTCTCAGTGCTTTCACATTACTGAATCAGTGAAGCGTGCAGTGTTTAGTCAGATTCCTGCAGCAGACTAGATTTGAACCCAGCTCTTCCTCCTCCCATTGGGAGAGCAAATGTAGTAGAAGTTACCCACAAGAGGGATAAATCACAGACTTGTAGCCGTTGTTGAAGTCTTATTTCTGCAGTGCGACATTTCTAAAATCTCCTCCCCTTGAGGAAAACAAATGTTTTACAAATGAATTGTTCAGTCATTGAAAGGGAATAGGAAACAATAAGTTTTATCTGACAACAGCTCTAATCAGCGCTACATAGCAGCACATTAGATAGAAGTTGGATTGACTATATTTATCTCTGTGCTCTCATTGCTGACTCATTGGAGCACACCTGATTTTGTCAGATCCATTCATCTTTACTGATCCAGTTCAGTTCAATTCAATGTTATTTATATAGCACCAATTCACAACAACAGT